TGGAGCGCCTGAAGGCTTACTATGACCCGCTCGTAGTGACAAGCTGTTAGGTCGCCAGGCGGCTCCCTCTTCGACCCCGGGGTAATTGTAGAGAAGCCGCCGAACACTGAAATGGGTTGAACTCTCAAGTGCTTTCTAGTGGGTGCCCAAAAAGAACGCCGCTCGCGCGGAGATCCCGTGCTTGGCCGTTACTGTCGCCATTGTGTAGATACGCTGTGTGCCGGCTACTTAACGCCATAACAACACAGACAGATACATGGACGGACGTGCTGATGGCTGCGCGGACGGATGAACGCAGAGGCGCATGCATGAAAGAACGCTTGGATGGACGCATGGATGGACGTGCGGACGATCGAACAGACGCGTGCACGGACGGGCGGATGAACGCACGGACGGTCACACAGACGAATGCATGGACGGACGGAAGCGAGAACGAATGGACGGACGGATGGTTCACCCCACTACCCATCATTGACCCCGTGAACATGCTGCCCTTTTTTTACCTCCACTCGCACTGCACAGATTCTTAAAATTTTTGCGGCATTGAATTCGTGAGACAATAAGCTCTTCTAGAGAATTCATTATATGGTTACTTGAAAAAGTGATTCAGGGCCCTTTTGACGCGTTTTGTTCGACAAGTGTCATGACGAAATGAGCCCATTCGGCGATTTGTAGGCGCATTTGGGAAGCCTCAAACTACGTCGAAAAAGGCCGAGATAGTGCAGCCATCGCCGCTAAAAACACACAGGATCTTTCAAACAGCTCTAAAAATGGATAACTATGTTCATCTAGCGGAAAACATACCATGCATTTTCAGAGGTGTTGATCAAGCAAACAGCTAACGCTAGACAATGTGCTACAATCTGTGAGGGATTGTGAGACTGTTGATAGCCTCCGACAACGCGATAACGTGGCGTGTATCTTGGAGGCCATGTGAGTCTTGCTTTAGATCAAAAACCTATATGTACCACTAAGGCGCACGCGCTGGTACGATATACTGTGTGCATGTGCGTGCGTATGTGTATGTAACAAAACATATGAATAAGTGTGAACCTAACAGTTTAAGGGTGCACTGGTGGCCGGATTTTGCTATTGCGTTCAACTCTTAAAGGCGAAGCTCAAGGGTCTCCAATTTTTCAAAGTTCAATTCAGTGGTATACCCAAGACATATAAAGGAAACTCCACTAGTGCATGTGAGCCATAGACTGAGGTGTCTCCATTCTAAAAATACATATTTATATACTCAGACGATAATGTAATAATATTGCCCCTCATTATCTCATTCATATTCGTTCTACCCACATATCATGCAACATATATTTCAGTGTATGCAAAGTTTACAACTAAATAAGGGTATCAACTAAATAAGGGGATCTATCATGCAGAGAGATCATCATCATCATCACAATCATCATCAGCCTGACTACGTCCACTGCAGGACAAAGGCCTCTCCCATGTTCCGCCATTTAACCCGGTCCTGTGCTTGCTGCTGCCAATTTATACCCACAAACTTCTTAATCTCATCTGCCCACCTAACCTTCTGTCTCCCCCTAACCCGCTTGCCATCTCTGGGAATCTGGTCAGTTACCCTTAATGACCAGCGGTTGTGCTGTCTACGCGCTACATGCCCGGCCCATGTCCATTTCCTCTTCTTGATTTCAGCTATGAAATCCTTAACCCCCGTTTGTTCCCTAATCCATTCTGCTCTGTTCTTGTCTCTTAAGGTTACACCTACCATTTTTCTTTCCATTGCTCTCTGCGTATTCCGCAACTTAAGCTGCACCCTCTTTATAAGTCTCCAAGTTTCTGCTGCGTAGCTAAGTACCGGCAAGATACAGCTGTTATATACTTTCCTCTTGAGGGATAGTGGCAATCTACTTGTCATAATTTGAGAGTGCATGCCAAATGTGCTCTACCCCATTCTTATTCTTCTAGTTACTTCAATCTTGTGCTTTGGCTCCACGGTTAATACCTGCCCTAAGTAGACATAGTCTTTTACAACTTGAAGTGCACTATTACCTATCTCGAAGCGCTGCTCTTTTCAGAGCTTGTTGTGCATTACTTTCGTTTTCTGCAGATTAATTTTAAGACCTACCTTTCTGCTCTCCTTGTCTAACTCCATAATCATGAGTTGCAATTCGTCCCCAGAGTTACGCAGCAATGCATCGTCATCGGTGAAACGCAGGTTACTAATGTACTCTCCATTAACTCTTATTTTAAACTTTTCCCATTCTAGCCTTCTGAAAACCTTTAAGCACGCGGTAAATAACATTGCTGAGATTATGTCCCCCTGCCTTACACCCTTCTTTATTAGTATTCTTTTGCTTTATTTATTAAGTTCTATGGTAGCAATTGATCAGCTGTATATTTCTTCCAGGATGTTTATATATGCTTCATCGACGCCCTGATTCCGCAGTGTCTGCATGACTGCTGGTATTTCTACTGAATCAAACGCCTTCTCGTAATATATGAAGGCTATGTATAGTGGTTTTCTGTATTCTTAGCATTTCTCTATTACCTGATAGATAGTATGAATGCGGTCGATTGTTGAGTAGCCTGTTCGAAATCCTGCTTGTTCCTTTGGTTGATTGAAATATAATGTTTTCTTTACCCTGTTAGCAATTACCTTTGTATATAGCTTGTATACTACAGAGAGCAAGCTGATCGGCCTGTAATTCTTCAAGTCCTTGTCATCTCCTTTCTTATGTATTAAGATGATGTTAGCGCTCTTCCAAGACTCTGGTACTCTTCCCGTCAGGAGACATCTCGTAAACAGGGTGGCTAGTTTTTCTAACACAATCTGTCCTCCATCTTTCAGCAGATCTGATGTTACCTGATCCTCACCAGCAGCTTTGCCTCTTTGCATGCTCTCCAAAGCTTTCCCGACTTTTTCTATCATTACTGGTGGGGTGTCATCTGGGTTACTGCTAGTTTTTACAGTATTAAAGTCGTGATTATCCCGGCTACTGTACAGATCTCTATAAAATTCCTACGCTATTTTAACTATCCTATCCATATTGGTAGTTATTTTGCCTTCTTTGTACCTTAGTGCATACATCCGAGTTTTGCCTATCCGAGGTTTCCTCTTCACTGCTTTAACGCTTCTTCCGTTTTTCAGAGCGTGTTCAGTTCTATCCATGTTACACCTTCTCACATCGCATACTTTGCGCCCAATAATCAACTTTGAAAGCTCTGTCAGTTCTATTTTGTCGGTTGTACTTGAGACTTTAATGATTGGACGCTTCTTGATGAGATTCTTCGTTTCCTGGAAAAGCTTGCCGGTGTCCTGTCTAACTACCCTGCCTGCAACTTCCACTGCACACTCCGTAATGATACTCGTCAGATTATCATTCATTGTATCTACGCTAAGGCTGGTTTCCTCACTAAGAGCCGAGTACCTGTTCTGAAGCGAAACTCTGAATTCCTGTACTTTCTCTCTCAATGCTAGCTCATTGATTGGCTTCTTGCGTATCAGTCTCTGCCGTTCCCTCTTCAAGTCTAGGCGAATTCATGACCGTACCATTCTATGGTCACTGCATATTACCTTGCCAACCACTTCCACATCCTGCACGATGCCTGGGTGTGCAGTCATTAAAAAATCTATTTTGTTCTTATTTTCGCCAATAGGGCTCCTCCATGTCCACTTGCGGTTTCCTCGTTTTCGGAAGAACGTATTCAAAATCCGTAAATTATTGCGTTCTGGGAATTCTACCAGTAGCTCTCCTCTGGCATTTCTAGTACCGATGCCATAGTATCCTACTGCCTGGTCTCCAGCCTGCTTCTTCCCTACCTTTGCATTAAAGTCTCCCTTCAGCATAGTGTACTGTGCTTTTGCCTTACTCATTGCTGATTTCACGTACAGCAGCGGTGGCGTAGTGGTTAGAGCATCCGCCTCACATGCAAAAGGTCCGTGGTTCAAATCCCAATGCCACGCAGTTCACAACCGGATAAAAAAAATCAGCGTGGTGATGGAACTGCATTAAGAGGCCTGGGGTGCGGCCTCACCGGTAACCACCGCCGGGAACGCACTCCCTCAGCAGAGAAGGATTGGCCCCCCTGGTGCAGCATCTGGCCACTACCTCCCACATGCATACGTCAAATAACTGACGGCCGTCAGTCCCCAGCAGCTGTGAAGCAACTTACCAAGGCGGCGGTCAGATCTGCAACGCAGCAGAGGGTGCTAAGAATCTCTGGATCCAGACAGGCCGCCATTGGAATCTGAACTTGGCAACGTTTAACGCTAGAACTTTATATAGTGAGGGAAGTCGAGCTGTAATATTCGAGGAGCTAGAGGGTGTTAAATGGGATATAATAGGGCTCAGCGAGGCTAGGAGGAAAGATGAGGCTTATATGGTGCTACAGAATGGGCACGTTCTTTACTGTAGGGGCTTGGCTGACAGAAAAGAACTTGAAGTGGGGTTCCTGATTCACAGAAATATAGCTGGCAACATAGAGAAATACTATAGCTATAATGAAATGGTGGTAGATATAATTAAACTGAATAAAAGATACAAGATGAAGGTGGTACAGGCTTACTCTCCTACATCCAGCCATGAAGACGCAGATAGATAGATAGATAGATAGATAGATAGATAGATAGATAGATAGATAGATAGATAGATAGATAGATACGCTCAATGTTCCTAATGTTCGCTCAAAAATTCGCATTTACTACGTATTCAACGTAATGCAGCTTGCATGTACAAGGATTTCAGATCTAAAAGTAAGTTTGCCTTTAAAAAGAGGCTGTCTTCGTAACCTAATTAGGATGAAGCAGGGGACATACATGATTCCATAGCCAACGATGAAATATTTATTTCGAGAGTATTATCTCCTGCTAGTGATTGGCGGATAATGATCCCGACTGAAGGCATATACACGAGAAATCTCATGTTTGTTTGGAAACGTCTATCTTTAGGCGCAAAACAATATTTTCGTACACATCAAATTATTGCACTGTCAGGAAAACATACATAGAACAGAAGGACAACACGAATAAGTATATTAGAAGTGGTTTATTCGGAACGGTCTAGCGCGTTTCGCGGCAGGTTTCTGGGGAATGTGTGTGGTACAGAGCACCTCTGTACGTAGCCGGTGGGTATGCAAAGGCCATTCAAGCACCGTCCCTTGCGACATACTTTAGAGTCATATGTCCGCTCTTGTGCTCCCTTTTCAAGTAACTGAAAATGAGATTGCACCAAATGGATAATCACGCTGTGTTATCATGCTTGAGGAAACAACCTGATTTGTGTTCCCAGTAAACTTCTGGTAGCTTTAGTTTTCAGTCTATGCATGGAGATGAATTTATTTATGACATATGAATCATTATGACATTTGGTCACCATATGCTTAGCACTTATTTTTCAGTCAATACGACACACGGCTAAAATTTTTGCTAATGAGGCTTTTCTGCATCATGTCCGCTATAAGAAGTAGCATTATCAAACAAAGTGCGAACGTATGCAACCATTTAAAGCAAACAAGTGTTGGCTATAAACGCCAGCGCCACTAAAGACTAAGTGAAACAAGTATCCGTAAAGATAAAGATAGCAAGGAGCCCCGAAAAGACATCGAAATCCTACAAGCCCCGCCGCGGTGGTCTAGTGGCTAAGGTACTCGGCTGCTGACCCGCAGGACGCGGGATCGAATACCGGCTGCATTTCCGATAGAGGCGGAAATGTTGTAGGCCCATGTTCTCAGATTTGGGTGCACGTTAAACCCCAGGTGGCCGAAATTTCCAGAGCCCTCCAAGACGGCGTCTCTCACAATCAAATGATGGTTTTGGGACGTTAAACCCCACATATCGTATCATTCGTCAGGAATCATTCCAATTCCTATGTCACGTGTCGTGACGATGACAAAGGCAGCGGACAGTACGTCCAAGATGGAACTGCTAATTTGGCCGAACTTGTGGTCGGTGAATTCAAAGTCAGATAAAATCAATACACACTGGCACTGACAATGGCGAATTGAGCCCGGCCCCAAATACTCAATGCTAGTTTCAGTTTCAAGAAATATCCATGCTCGCTGCGGTTGCCAGGCATCCAAAAATCTGGTCGAACGAAGTCAGGTCGATGTGCATTCTCGTATTTTTTTTTCTTTCTCGTGTTTTTTTTTCAAATAAAAAAATTGATATCTTTATAAAAACGGCTCGTTTGTTTATACGTCTTTTTAATTTTTTTTATTTAGTGAGTGTTGAAGCAATCGAAGCGCGGGAAATGATTGACTTGAGTTCATAGCGTTTGCCTTCATTCCTTCTCGCCCCTCGCTTAGCAAAATTAGAAGTTGGATCACGCTCAGTTATTTCGCTCCAATAGCGTGTCAACTACGGAAAATATAAAGAGAGGAAGTTATGGCGCGCAGAGAACGGAAGCCACAGTGAGCTATGCCTAACAAGTCAACGAAGCAATCGTCGAAGATTGCTTAATTAAGCAACAGATCTTTTGCGCGGCTCCGCGGTGTGCTATCCCAGAGATTTCTAGTTCCGTGAAGGTACTTCAGCGTGTCCTAAAGGCAACGGGTGAGCACAAAAATTTGGACCCATTATTTGAGCAGAAAATAGTTTTACATGAGTACATATAAATAAACCCAGTTCTCTGCAAGCTTAACTGGTCTGAGAGAAGTGCAGCTTCGCTTGAATAATCGGTGAAGACCAAGCTCTTGTGGAGAAATTGCGTTTATTGAAATGCTTGAATTCATGTTGGCTCTGCTACAGAGTTTTAGTTTCTTTTACTTTTGGCGTGTATTTCAAATTATGCCATGTATTTATAGGTTGCTTCCTGCATATAAAGGTCTTGCCGCAGCAGTTCGAAATTTGCGAGTCTTTACTTCTAATCGTGTCACTCAAGCACACGTGATAGAGTAAATGCTTATAAAAATTATTACAGAGAATATTGCAAAGCCAAGGTTTTGACAAGCGAGCTTTTCTTTCCTAAGGAAACGCGTTTGCCTTGACAAATATAACTTGCCGAAACACTGTTTCCAGCGACGTTCTTTCTCGAAAAACATCTGATCACTTGAAGCCTCTTCATGCCTCTAAGCTTTAGTCTCGTTCGGTACTTAAGTTAAGCAAGAAAACCAAGTCGGTCATCATAAAAATCTTGATTAAGTCAAATACAACGTATCCCTCTCGCGTTTGTTGATAATTTTTGCATTAATTTGGATATTATGTATTCAACGTTTGCTCACTATGTCCGAATGTCAGTGGTAATTTAGAGCTGCTTTTGTAGGTTGCCACTTTCACGCTACATGTATGTCTGTTTGTTATACAAAATGTGCTATAAAAAGTTCAATTGTGTTGTGCCGATCAAAGTTCGTCATACTAAGAAATCAGTCAGCTTAACTTCAGGCTCTAGAAAGCACGAAGAAAAGCACAAAAAAATGTTGTAAAAATTTTCAGAATTGCTGCATCGCCCGAGCGCCCAGCGGACCTGAAAGAAGGCTCGAGCGCATTCCGCTTGCATGCGAAGTGGGAAAGAAGGGCTTCTGCGGCAACCCTCCTGCCCTCGACTTTTCGTTCTTTCCCTCTATTTCTGGGCGTCAACAGTGGCGTGATAAAAGGCACTTTCTGTTCCTGATTTATTATTAGTAGGATGCCCGGCAACCACCAGTGGTAAAATTGGCGCTGCCACTGCCAAGAGGGAGTACATGGGAGGAAAAGGGAGTTTCCTCGCCGTGACTGTGCATCGGCCGTCAATCAAATGATCATCGTTGAGACGTGCCGTCTTTTATACACCACGCGTCGAACTTTCCAGGGTTATCACTGATGTACGCACAAACTCTCGAATAATCTTGAGTGTTCGCGTTCTGGTGCGCAATGTTTTAACAAAATGATCTACTACCAACGAGGAGCTTTTCGAACAGGGAGGCACAACTTGAACCGAGTATTGCTCACAGTGTTTCGGGATTTAAACCGAGCACACTAAAATAACAAACGTTGCAATGCCCCCCTTTAAGTTGCACCTAGTATTGCTCACAATGTTTTTCGGTTTACACCCAGGACACGAAAATGACGCGTGCAACCCTACTTCCACCATTTTAGCACAACTTAATGAAAGCTGAAAAAAAGGAGTTCATTTCGGCTACACTTTGGTAGCTGAAACGTTAATTTTATTGCGACAGCAATTATAAAGAAACTCTCGGCGGGATTTTACCGCCGGTGTCGGCGTCTATGTCATGCACCGTGCATGTATACGTATCTATATATATAAAAAAACGAAAAAAAAACGTTCAGAAAAAAAAACTCCGGTGCGGAGTCGAACGTGGGAACTCCACGTTGTAAATGCAAAGTGTTAACCACTGGACCCCCAAGAGATTTTTTTTCTTTATCACCAGTGTTGCACGTTGTACAAACATGAACAATATTATACATGAACATGAAAAATAATATACAAAACATAAGCGATGACAAGACAGTCGCGAAACCATTAGTGGTTGCAGTGCTAAAATTCCTTTACGTTCATCAGGGGTTCAACCCTAGAGAGCCAATCCGTAAGAAAGTCTCGTTATTTGAGTACGTCAACGTATTGAGCAATGCTTTCGCGGAAAAGCACGCGTGCCGGACGTCTGTCAGGGTCACAGTAGTAACCGGCCATTCTGGCCCACCATAGATAATGGAGGCCAAGAGAGTTGTCAGCGATGTCCGAATGAATGTAGTCAAGGCAAGGTTCAAATTTTAAGAAAAACTGTAATGTGCTAAGTTACAGGTGAATCGGCAGTGGTTACATGTATAAGGAAACTGGACTCGGTGCAGGAGCTCGATTGGATACGTCCGACGCCACTCGCGTCTCGGCTCGCTCTGCGGTGCGTCGCTCTGCGGTCTCGGCTCGAATCTCACTTTTGTTTTTAGATGCGGAGCATCTAATACTCGAGGCTTGTAGTGCGGCGCCGTCCGCAAGCTTCCTCCTCCTTCTTCCACCATCTGTGCATCCCTTCCTCCTCTACACACCGCGCGCGCTTCACTCCTCCACCGTCTGTGCACCCTTCCTCCTCTACACACCGCGTGCGCTTCTCCTCTTCACGAACATTCGCTAGCTGTATAATGTAGCGCGCATGCGCCGTCACGCTTCGAGAACATCGGCAGCTGACGCGCGCGCATGCGCCGTTGCGCTTCTCCCCCTTCTCGAACATTCGACAGCTGACAGTGCATGCGCCGTCGCGCTGTATATATACTCAAGGTCGGTGCTCGCTCGCTCAGTTGCCGCTCGTCGGTTGGTTTGTACGGCGCGTCGACGTCCGAGGTCGCAATGATCGACGTCCCTTCGACCAGCGCCGGCCAAAGTGTTGGCGGAACCGCAACCCACTCACTCTTCACTTTACCGACCAAAAAGCCATCGTGCTCAAAGTTCGTCGCAATAAACAAACACCGCCCTTTCGCATACGTGTCGTACGTGTACACTCATTTAACACCCCTCCTACAACCACGTTAACCAATTTAGCCAGCGACCTAAGTAAGTCGCAATTTAACACCCCATTTCACAACCACGTTAACCAATTTAGCCATCGACCCAAGTAAGTCGCACTTTAACACCCCGTTAACCAATTATATGCTCCGCATCGTCCTCATTGTTCCCCCGAGGGAAGCTGCGGGCAATTGTTTTTTAATGTTCGTTGAACCAATGGGCAACCGCGTCGAGTGGACGCGCTCAGGGCTCGGAGTCCACGTTAACGCAGTGCAGCGTTTCCCGAGCAAGCACGGAGACGCTGCCGGAGAATGAAACGCTGCCGGAGAATTCAGCTGTGCGAACTCGAGTGCCGCTGACACGGCCCTCCCGAAAATTGCGCCTGTCCTCAGGCGTGCGTGTCGTTAGATGGCGATGGTTCCGTAACTTCTAGGAGCGGCTCCTTATATCTACGAAGCTGCTCCACGTTGAAGATTTTTTGGTTGATCATGCCCGGTGTGTGGGGTACTCTTTGGATCTCGGCCCTATTTCCTCCGACGAGGGCCGTTACCTCGAACGGACCTTCATAGCGAGGGTCTAATGTGCCTCGAGCGCTCAACTCAAGCAGGACGAGGTCCCCCGTTATGAACCTCGGAGCTCGCCGCTTCTTGTCGTATCGGACCGTTGTTTTGCGCTGACTCTGCAGTAGCCTCTCTCTTGTCTCCGCACGTCCCCTTGCCAAGTCGTGCAGTCTATTAGACTCGTCGATGTCTCCCTCGACTGAGGCGAGGTTGAGCTCT